GGCCTTTCCCACGGGCCGCGGCCCACGAGGGAGGGGCGCGGCGGGGAGAGGAGGGCGCTGCAAGCGCGGCCGCCGCTTCCCACCCGCGCCCGGCGGGGGCGGGGCGGCTCTCACCTGCCGGGCGGCGGCGCTGGGGCTGAGGGGCGAGCTGGCCGCCTCTGCCCACGTCCACGCCGGCCACCTGCGCCACCAGCTGCCGCAGAGGCGTCTCAACGGCTCCGAGCTGCAACCGCCACCGCCACTGCCGCCGCCGCCGTCGCTGCGCCGCTCCCGCGCGGCTCCCGCTCGGCGCCCGCTAGCGCTGGCCCGTACCAAGTGCTCGGGCTGCCGGGGGGGGCGCGGCCGCCACGGCTGGCCGCGGCTCGGGAGCCGAGCACCTGGAGACCCCGGGGCCACAGGTGCCCCTGCGGACGCCTAACCGCAGCCAGGTGCCGCGGGGCGGGGCGCGGGGAGGGAGCGCGAGCGGGGCGCGCCAGCGCGGCCCCCCGCCTCCCCCCGCGGCCTGCGCAGTGGTCGCGCCCGGCCCGCCCCTGCTGGCTGCCCTGCGTGTGTGTGTATTTGTATGTGTACTGTATGTAAAAGGCGGGGAGGGAGGAAACGATTGTTGTGGACCCGGTGTGGGGAGAGGGTATCCGGGCTTGTAGCCCACGGCTGCACGTTTAAGAGGAACTGGGAGCCCAAGGTGCTTGTCCTCGCATCTCCAAGGTGGGGGGACTGTACTGCTCCTGCGCGGTTTACATCATCCAAAAAAAAAAAAAAAAAAAAGAGCTGTGCGAAAACCCAGAAATCAAATTGGAGTATGAAGCAGTTGCAGAATGTGCACCTTGTAGGCCTCTTACACCTTGCAAAATGGACTTTGCAGTCTCCTTTTCCATGGGAGTGTAACATGAGAAAGCCCAATTTCATTTCTTTGACATTTCAACCGTGGAGAGCCTTTGAGGAAAAATGCAATCCCAACGAATGCAAAAACGTCAACGGTACAAAACAATGACAACGAAAGAGTAGTTAGCTTGTTAACTAGGACGTGGATTTGGGCCCAAACTACATTTTAGCTGCACTTAAAATTTTATTTCCCTAAAGAGTGGGATGGTGGGTCAAGTAACACTTCTCTTACTAACCCCTAAATATTTCGTCACTTAAAATACTCCTAAAGGGTTTTTTTAAGGTGATTTTATCTTTACTTCTTTAGCCAACGCATGCTTTTAGTATTTTGTAATATACCTTGTGATGTGGATTAACACGTCAAGATTTTTACTGTCCTGGAACTGTCTAATTTTATTTATTCATAACACCCAGGTTCCCGATAAGTATATGGTAAGTTAGAAGACGTTTACGTATTAAAAAAAAAAAAAATGAATCTTTTGTTTCAGCCTTCACTGAATCTCCCCAAAATGGTGTTTATAATGAAGCACAGTTTGGTGTTGAATGTACACAATGAACAAGATCAGGTATTTCCTATATAAAACAAGCTAAAAAAATATTAAGGACATTAAGAATATTAAAATATGTAACTATTGATGTCGACCTAATAGTACTTTAAATAAAGACTCACAGCTGGGAATAAGTCAGGAAGAGCTCTGTTTGAATAGCAACAATTCAGAGGTTTTTCTTCCTAAGGCATCCCGCATGCCTTTAAAAGAAAATGAGGCCCCCACGGTGTTAAACACCCTGCCAGGGGGCCACTGTGGATCTGCTTTGTGCGGAGGGTTCCACGTGGAGCTGAAAGAAAGAAAGGGAATTACTGGTAGGGCTCAAGCTTCTCATTCTGAATTTGATGGTGGGTGCTATGGGAGCTATCCAAGGTTGCAGGGCAAGAAGGGGGTAAAACTGATTCTTTAAAACTGGATTCTCGGTGTTTTCATGCAGATGTGAGCAGAAAGAGACTGTTTTTATCTGACTGTTCATAAGAGTGGGGAGGAGAAGGAAGAATGAGCACAGCTAAGTCATTATGGAAACAGTTGCCAGGTGTGGGTGGTAAACCATGGACCTGAAAAGGGGCAGAAAGATGTCTTCAAGGAAGTTTCTGATTCTGAGTAATAAATGTCATCTTTCTGTGGACACCCCCCTCCCACTGCCCTCAACTTTGTACGGCCCTGAAACTCCAGTTTGCTCAGCCTCCAGAGCACGGGCTTCAGACCCGAGGATTTGTTAGCAGCTCAGCCCTCCCCCAGCGACCAGTCTGTATTTTAACAAGATTCCTCGGGTTGTTTTGTTTTGTTTGTGGTGGGGGCACTGCCTATCAGGAGACAACACGCTCCAGCAGCTTCTCTCTTTTCACCATGTGGATCCCAAGATTAAATCAGGTCACCAGGTTTGGCAACAGGGGCCCTTAGCTGCCGGACCATCTTCTGCCACTCACCCTTCCTAGGTGATTCTTGTGAATATTTAGATGTAAAGAAATTTTACAATCAACTGGAAGTGCTGCAAGGCGGTCATGACTGCAATTCCTGCAGCAGTAAAACTCAGGCTGGAGGATGGAAAATTAGAGGCCAACCTGTAAGCAAAACCTTTTTTGAAAGAGACACACAGATAGACAATCACATGAAGATGTATGTTACTATTAAAAGATACCTTTGTGTTAGTGCTAAATAGCTATGCCAACAGCTAAGGGAGGTGGTTGCTGTGAGTTGAGGTAATCGGAAAATAAAAAAGTAAAAGAAAAATGGAAGTGCACTTGATGTGTTAGTGTTGAGCCTGTGTGAATCTCAGACCAGCTCCACATTTTGGCGGTTCGTTAGTAATAGTCTAAGAACAGGTGATACCTTTTAAACAACAAATCAAGGCAAAGCAGGTGGTAGGCTAAGCCTCCAGAAAACAAAGGGCCACAATCCCTGGGAACAACAGTTAGGAATCTAAGTGGGAGGGGCAAAAGGGGGACAATGGAGGAGGGGGTGGAAATGGAAATGGATGGATGTGTTTAGGCCACTAGCAGAGCTTCTCTCCTCCCCCACAGGAGAAAGAACACTTTCCAAAACTGTAACCAGCTAGAGAGGGCAGGCAAAACTAAATGTGTTGGGGCAAAACCAGTCAACGTTCTCCCCATTCTACAGATGAGAAAGCAGACTCATAAATGCCAAGCAACTTGCCCAGGGACACCTGAAATCAAGGGGCCCAAGCCAATTTTCAGCCCTTCTCTGCACTACACGCTTCTGTGACTTTACAAGCCCTCTAGGTGGCACAGGAAGGCTTGAGGCTGCAGAAGAATGAGAATGGCCCATAATTAGAAAAAGATGCTGGGAGTAGATGCAGCCTAGTTCTCTTATTCCAGCTTCAAATTCCCCCGACCCACCCCATTCCCCAGCTGGTCCCCTCTACCAGCTATTCTGTTTAACTCTTTATGGGCCTAAATGACACAACCCCAAATTACACCTACATATCTTCTAGTGGCTCAATTTCTGATTTACAATCTTAGTCTTTAAACTACTTAGAACAAACAATATCTTCTTCATCAGTACAGGTACTCAACAATCCCCCTCCCCAAGGAGTTGCTGAATGAATAATAAGAGTAGGCCCAGGATAAGCTTCAGCTCTAGTTCTTCAGGTTAAAAAAAAAAAAAAAGAGGTCAGAAGACACATGAGGCTGAGGCATGAGCTCCACAGGAAGTTGAAGCTGTTGCAATGGTTCTCAGCCCATAGGGTTGCATACCAAGCATCCTGCATATAAAATATTTACGTTACGATTCATAACAGCACCAAAATTACAAGTACGAAGTAGCAAAGAAAACAATCCTATGGTTGAGGGTCAGTACAACATGAGGAACTATATTAAAGGGTCATAGCCTTAGGAAAGTTGAGAGCCGCTAGGACCACTAAAGGATCACAAGTTGGTGGCCAGCCTTTACCCAGCAGGCAAGAGACCTAGGAGTCAGCCCTCAGTGCTGGAAACCAACCAACCAAATGAAGATATTCATATTTGAGTTTATAATTTTTTCATATACTTAAAGGTTGACCTTTAAAATCAGTAATTTTTTTTTTCCCTAAAAATTATGTAAAGGAACTAGAGAGACTTTCCGTGGTTAAAAGTGCTTGCTGCTCTCCTGAGTCCAGGCACCTTCACTCACACACTATCTTAAAAATAAAATAAATCTATGTATTTAATCTATGTATTTAATAGAACTCTTTCTAAAATGAAACTTGATGCTTATTACAAAAATATTCCTTCATACTTTCACACAAGACCGCCAGCCAAAATTATAGCTTAGAGGCGGGGGTTTCCAAATGGGGGATTTGGCAGACAAATAGTCAGGGATAGCAGAGCATAACAGGGTGGTCATAACGTGTGGCTATAATAACTTTGAAACAAAGGTAGGGTTGCAAGATGGTCATAGCAACTTTTTGAGAGAAAGACATGGGCCATGCTGTGCTGTGGTGGCACACACCTTCAATCTCAGCACTCTGGAGGCAAATGCAAGAGAGTTCGGGACCAGCCTGTTCTACAGAGAGAGTTCCAGGACAGCCAGGGCTCCACAGAGAAATCCGAGTCTTGAAAAACAAACAAAGAGGCATGGTTACTGTTTAGGAGCAGGCAGTACAAAACCGTTTGCAGTTAAGGTTATAGGTAGGGCATGATCCAGTCCTTGAGAAAGCGGTTTAGTCCTAAACAGGAATGAACCGAGGCTGTCTTTACTATAAGATGGCTTATAAACTAAAGATGGAGGCAGACGGGATCATCCTTATACGTGACATTTTAAATCATGTCAAGGAAGTAATGAGAAGTTAGCAAATACATGATTTGTTTAAAGTCCTTTATTTTAAACACAGAGCTAGCTAGCTAACCAGAGCTGTCCTAAATGCAGTCAGGCCTTTTCTCCTTCTTCAAGACAAATTGGGAAGTTTGCCCTTAGGTGACGAAAAACGGAAATGGATTAGCTTGGGAAGCAGTGCGCAGGACCGCTGCGCTGAGGTGCCGCCGAGCGAAAGACAGCGGCCTGTCCCCAAGGGGCAGCAGAGATGTGCTAGGGAGTCTAGGTGCTCAGGGGACAAGCTGTGAAGAAGCTAAACAGCACAGGCCGTAACAGGCCACCTGTGGGAGCCACTGTAAAAGCCACCTAACTCTGTAGCTGGCCAGGTGGAGTTGATTTTGTTTTCTCATTATATAATCTGGGCCAGTTACAGTGACACACATCTTTAGTCCCAGCACTCTGAAGGCAAATGCAAGAGATCCCTGTGAGTTCAAGACCAGCCTGATAAATATAAAATTGCTGAATAGTGAGACCATGTCTCAAAATTTAGTTAGCCAGATCATTTTGTTTGTTTGAGTTTGTTCCCTT